CACGTGTCCCAAAAAGCAGAGGCCAAAAGCCAGGCAAAATTTCCCTCTGATGTTGTTATTTCCAGTGTTGTCTGGCAGATGCCACAGGGAAGGGAGATGAGCAGCTGTGACTAGGCGCGGTTGCAAGCTGCTACAGGCCCAACCATTTCAAAGCAAAGGACATCAAGTTTTGCATGAGATGGTCTCCAGTAATCGGGGGGAAAGCCGCTATTTGTTAGCCCCTCGTGGTCCCTTGACTTTGCATCTTGATTAAAAATTACAGTGAATGATGGAATTAGCCGTGTTGTGACAATAATCTTTTTCGGTTGGTCCAGAATCAGTTGCTTGGCTGCTGCTCGCACACTCTTCCTCAGGGCTACCAATTAGTGGCACCAGCTGCTAGCCTAGGTTCCAGGGCCAGGAGCGATTACACACAGACCATTAGCTTTCGAAGGCATTTGGAAGTTCTGAATATGTTGTTAGGGACATGCGATATGAACATACTGCATGGCCATATGCAACTCGACTGGCCTCCCTTGCAGCCATTCCTCATCCAAAAACCTGTTGGTGAACAGTTTGATGATGCAGGAGGAATGCTTATAAAGTTCAAGTGGGCACCTTGCAGTGGAAAGAGTTTCTTTCTTTTCAATCATCAGGTCAATGTCATCTTAACTTTGCATGACTGAAGTGGGCACCTACTTAAACTGGTTAAGGCTACAGTTCTGTGTATACTTGGCAAACAATCCATACAGAAATTCAGAGGATTAATGGAAGCTTATCCATTAGGGCATTTGGGACACTGACCCACCAACCTCAGCCAGCAACCACCTATGTGCCTTCACAGATGTGCCAGATTTTTTTGGGAGGGGTCTAACATGTTCTCACTCTCCTCAGTGTGGTGAGACATATCAGGAGAAAAGCACTGTCTGATCTTTGTTGCTTCTGTCTGTCAATACCCATAAAATGTGGCGTGAAAACCCAGTGATGTAATTTGGGCCAGATACCCAATATTCTGACTTGTTGTCTTGAGGCTTATGTCACCTCCTGGCATTACCAGTTTTGTCATGGTGTGTTGTGACTTTAAGTTCAAGAACCAAACACATGTTCCTTGGGAGTACGTAAGTAATAATGTATGTGTAGATGAGGACACATAGAGTGATATCCACTAGACTATCAGAAGTCCACTTGTGCAATGGGCCTTCCTCCTCCAAGCCTCTGGAGCATATTTTGAGGTCATATGGGCAGAGAAGAGGAAGAAGTCCCTCTGCACAAGCAGAACTCCACACAGAGAGAACACTAAATACAACGCCTTGTAACAATCTGATATTGCTCATTATCTTTGTTGGTCCAGTTAGCTGATATCCACGCTGTGGTCTAAACCACTGAGCCTCTTGGGCTTGCTGATTGGAAGGTCAGCAGTTTGAATCTGTGCGAAGGGGTGAGCTCCCGTTGCTCTGTCCCAGCTTCTGCCAACCTAGCAGTTTGAAAGCATACCAGTGCAAGAAGATAAATAGGTACTGCTGCGGGGGGAAGGTAAATGACATTTCTGTGCGCTCTGGTTTCCGTCACGGTGTTCTGTTGCGCCAGAAGTGGTTTAATCATGCTGGCCACATGACCTGGAAAGCTGTCTGTGGACAAACGCGGGCTCTCTGAGCCTGAAGCGAGATGAGTGTCACACCCCATAGTTGTCTTTGACTGGACTCAACCGTCCGGGGTCATTTACTAATATGGCATTACTAAATATGGCATGAAAACTCAAGGTGTATTTTGGCTGCAAATATTTGTAAACTGTTTGACAGCAAATGCCACGCAAAACCAAAATCTGGGCCAATGCAGGTGATGCTCTTAATTTATAGCTCTAGTCAGCATCTCTATGCAAATAACACTTTGAAAGGCATGAAGGAAATGCTGCAGAGTGCATAAAGGAGTTGTTACAGCATAAAAGAAAAATAAGCCTAGTTGGCTATATAGATTTTATTTTTTGCCCTCAAAATAATAATCAGAATCTAGGATCTGGATAACCAGACAGACTGTGATATAGGAAAGATGCCTGAGAGCATTATCATTTCACAATGGTACTAATTTTGCTCCATGACTCATTCATGCACTGATGCATACTTCGCATGCAATGCCTTCCTGTAAAGGAGTTAATCTCCAGTTGGGATGTTTCGGAAAGGAGATATATTTTCCCTATATGTCATTCTAATTAGTTTGGAAATGGGAAAAAAAGCAAACAGGGAATGTTAATACGGGAAAGTTTATACAGTCAGAAGAACTAAGTGTTATTTCTGGAGTGCAGGCTGCAGTTAGATGATGGATTCCTGATGCTCTATGCATAGGAAGTGTTGGGGGAACATGCTAAGGAGAAGAGTCTTGCCTATGTTTCTTTGTAACTAATAACAAGCTATATTTTAGTACAGTGGTACCTCGGGTTACATACACTTCAGGTTACATACACTTCAGGTTACAGACTCCGCTAATCCAGAAATAGTACCTCAGGTTAAGAACTTTGCTTCAGGATAAGAACAGAAATCATGCTCCAGCGGTGCGGCAGCAGCAGGAGGCCCCATTAGCTAAAGTGGTGCTTCAGGTTAAGAACAGTTTCAGGTTAAGAACGGACCTCCAGAACAAATTAAGTACTTAACCCGAGGTACCACTGTATACAGAGAGGTCTCTCCAAACCTCTCGATAGGGGAGTGCTCAGAAATGCAAGACACTACTGGCAGCCTGAAATGAATCATTCTAGAAAAACTTTACCACTTAAATATACTCAACACATAAGCTGTCCTCAATCATAACAAGGTATGAACCAAATCAACAACCAAAAAGCCTGGGGAAAAAGGAATGTCGTAAACTAGCACCTGAAAGTTGACAGTGATGGTGCCAGGTGTGTTTCCAACAGGATAGCATTCCATGAACATGGTGGCACCACTGAAAAAGCTGAGTGTTATTTTTTGTGTTATATCACATACACAGAGCAGCCATTTTGCAATATACCATGGCCCATTGCAGCCATTTTGTGACTGGTGTCCATGGCACTTCCATAATGTTCTGCCCTGCCCCGCTGCCACCCCACCAACCCCCTTACCTGGATTGTGTGACAGTGCCTGTGAAGCGATAGTGGTGATGGGTTCAAGGTGCAATCTTGCCAAAAATTGTGAAATTTCAGTCAGTGCTTCTCTGCTGGCAACGGAGGTGCTGGGGCACCCATTGAGGCACTGCCTCTTGGGCTTTCTCCACTCAAGGCAGTGGCCTCACCTTGTCACATGGGCAGGCCAGCCCTGTGTGTTCCCTTCATATAGATTTTGTTTAACATCTAAATGAAGGTGTTGGGAAAGCTGCTGGGGGTTTAGACCATGTCAAGCTGCTGTTTGCTAATAGATAGATCAATAGATAGATGATAGATAGATAGATAGATAGATAGATAGATAGATAGATATAGATAGATGATAGACAGATAGATGACTAAGCATTTTCGGGTGACTAATAGTCAGTCTTTTGCAATTTTCCTGGTTTCTCCAGTTGTTACTGTATTTTTATTAGAAAGTCAATTTTATTTATCTTGCTTTAGATTCCTATAAACTGTTTTGGAGCCCGACAATATTGAAACAGAGATGCCAAGCCTAAAGCTTTCATATTTTAACTCAAAACAATATTTACCTGCAAAATGAAAAATTGAATTTTTGCATCAGAATCTCTCCCTCAAACATTTGAACAGTACGGAATGAAAAGTTACCTGCCTTCTATTTGCCAATGCATGTTTCAGCTCTGCTCTTTACATTTCTCTTATTGGCCATATTAGACTGCCTCTCTCACACACCCCTTCGCCTAGTCTTCCCTGACTATGCCCACATACAGTACAATTTTATTTTCAATGCTACTTGTGTTGAATAAGAACATTTTCAGTTTTGATTTGCATTTTCAGCCAGCCAACATTCTTCTGATTCAATACAAAAATGTCAAGAAGACTGTATATTTTATTTCCATTTGCAATCAGCTCTAATATTTATACATCAAGACTACTGTCAACCCGGTTAGGTCTACTGTGCATGTCATAAATTATAATAAAAAGTATGATAATACACCTGGGAATCCTCAACTGTGTCCCTGAATGACATTGTCAGAGGCAGAGTAAACCCAGCACCTCAACAGTTACTATTTTTCCTGCTCCTTTATCAAGACAGCAAGTGTTTTATTAGTAGGGAGCAAACACTTCCTTCCTGATTCCTCCGGCAGCTGAAGAAGCCTCACGCACATACAGATGTTGTCTCCTTCACGCCTAAGGACAGGAGCATGTAAAGCTTTCAAGATAAATGTGTCATTTCCCATTACAGACCACCACTGGGGCACATGCTGTGACCAAGCCTGCATGATCTCTGGGAGTTTTCTCAGGGCAGTGCTCTCAAAGTACATGCTGATTTCTATAGGCTGTTAAAGAGCAGTGTCTTAGATCATTCTTATCAACTGAAATGCCATGAATGTTACCACATGTGGCAGAGCAGGGTCACAGATTTTCTGCATACAAGTTGCAGGGGCACGGCTGACTTTTACATTGTCATTGTGCCCTTCCTCCTCCTCCTTTTGTTTTTGCAAAGCATGAAATGCCATCTTGCATAGGAACTGGGCTGAAAAAATCACAAGTGGAGCTACAGTACAAATGATCTCTCTCTCTCTCTCTCTCTCTGTGTGTGTGCGTGTGTGTGTATCTGACATGCTGTCACTGATCTGAATGACTTAGCCACCTCCAATCACTTTTGTGGGACACATTTGTATATTCCCCTCTTCATTTGCCCACTATTCCATACTGCCATCTGATGGAGAGCTCTTAAGAACTCTAGGGGCATTTTTCTTTAGCTAGGCTCAGAAAAACTGGGGTAGGGGGCCTCATACAAACCCAGCTCAAAGGAGAGGCAAGCTTTTAAAACCCTCATGTTCTTTTCAGAATGAAATTCTCAGGTTGAAATCTGAGCAGAAGCAGCAGCACAGGTTTCCTTGGTTTGGGCAGAGCTTCTGCATATATTTTGCGTGTCGAGGTCCCCAAGCCACCCCCCAAATAACTCACAACGCACACTTAATTTTTGTTTAAGGTTTTTGGCATAATTTTGGCCACAACTTTATTTAAATACAAAACCGTGAGTGGTTGTTTAGGCATTGGGTACGACTATCTGTCCCCCCGCCGGGGGACAGAACTGACTTCCGGGCACCACCGAAAGACAGTGCGGGGGAAAGCAAGTCGGAGAAAATGGAGCTGGGCCACAGACCCTCAATTCTCATCCGCATGCTCCCCGAAGGCTTGCCGGCCCTAGTCCCATTCCAGGGATTGGACGAAAAGATGGCAAGCCCCAGGATTCCTTTAACGGAATTCCCTTTCCGCAGCAACCATGGAGGGGCAGGCCCAGCCTATCCTAACCCCTCCTCCACCAATTTATAACCAATGCCTAACCACAACCTTACAAGTTGTGACGATTTGCTACGCAGTAGGCAAAAACCAAATGGCCCAGCCAATCAGCCAGATGGACAAAATTCCTACCAGGCCCCTGCCCCAACGGCAGACGACCCCATGACAGGCATAGCAAGGTCAATGCAACAACCCCTTACTCAAGGGCGGGTGGGCGGGTGATCCGTTGCACGCAGCAAAGAGAAAGCTCCAGGCTGCGTGCAGAGTATTTAAACATTTTACCCTCCCACCAAAATTGCAACATAACTTTTACCCCAGCAACCCAGTGAACCAATCACTGCCCCAGGCCATCTTTAGAGACCCTGCCTGGTAACAGAGGGGTGGCTCAGCAGACCCCACCGCAACACGTGCTCTCCATGAAGGAGAACACGCTTTGCGTGTCGAGGTCCCCAAGCCACCCCCCAAATAACTCACAACGCACACTTAATTTTTGTTTAAGGTTTTTGGCATAATTTTGGCCACAACTTTATTTAAATACAAAACCGTGAGTGGTTGTTTAGGCATTGGTTAAGACTATCTGTCCCCCGCCTGGGGACAGAACTGACTTCCGGGCACCACCGAAAGACAGTGCGGGGGAAAGCAAGTCGGAGAAAAATGGAGCTGGGCCACAGACCCTCAATTCTCATCCGCATGCTCCCGAAGGCTTGCCGGCCCTAGTCCCATTCCAGGGATTGGACGAAAAGATGGCAAGCCCCAGGATTCCTTTAACGGAATTCCCTTTCCGCAGCAACCATGGAGGGGCAGGCCCAGCCTATCCTAACCCCTCCTCCACCAATTTATAACCAATGCCTAACCGCCAATCGAGCCCTTTACGCTCGCCGCCAACCACTCACAATCCCAACCCAACCTTCAACCTTGCAGTTACCGCATCCAACCAAACATCATTCCCCAGTACAGAGAGATGTACTCCATCATTGCGGTAAAGGGCCAGAGCCTTGAAGGTAATATCCGGGCGGGAAATAACCAATCCACCCAAATCCGCCACCTTCTTACACACTGCAGAATTAATGCGCTTCCTGGCCCTTTCAGCAGCCTCAGGTCGAGAAATGCCGTGCCAATTGCGCCTTTGCAGCAATTGTGACCAAAATATTTTAACTGTGGGTATTAAGGTCACCAATTCACCCAAGTCTCTCTGAATCGTGGAGCGCAAAGTAAAGCAATCATAAGTTGCCACATCGTTCCCCCAGCTGAACCACAATTGCCATGGGGGCCATCCGAAGCACCCTCTGCTTAATTAGCGGGATGAATTCGCTCCACTGCATTCTGCGCCTGGACATCCACAACACCTGCACATGCTGCGGGAGGCCAAGACCCAGTCCCCTTCCAGACTGCCTAGCTCTGATGCCAGCCCAGTAAACGATGCTGTGCCCCACAATCCAGATGCGGACTGGAGCTAGAAACATGGGCAGGAAGGCCGAGATGGCGCCCCCAGTCCAGACTCGTCAGGGTGCTTGCCAGCTCAGTGCATGATGCTGTGGCCGACAATCCAAATGCGCACAGCTGCTCCTATGAAAAAGGAATAACAGACAGGCATCAGCACAGGCATCATTGGCGATGCTTCCTGACATAACCTTTGTCAGCGTCAGACTTCCAATGACCCGTATTCACAATCCTGTCTACTAACAGGCCCCAATGCGCAGCCTTTGCAGCAGCACCTATTTGGAAGGAATGAGGCGTGTTCAGCGGTAGGCAAGCCGCAGGCTGCAATAACTGGCGCACGACGTGAGCAATTAGATGCCTGTCGAACCGGAACCCATTTCTGTGCACTAGGATTGAGCCAGCCCCCAGGGGAACGAAAAGCCAAATATTTCCGGTATCCAATAACAGGGCAAGGGCCCACCTCACCTGTGACTGGAAGCCTGATGGTGGCAACCCTGCTCACTAGGTCTGACTTAGAGCTCCAGACACTTATGACAAGCTCCAAAGCAGATAAGGAAAAGTCCTGTGGCAATAAGCCTCCAAACTCTCAGCCCCGTGCTGGCTCCAACACAATTTCCCCAACCCTCAGTACACCAAAATTACAATGGAATACTGAAATAAGTCTCGTCTTGATCTTGAACCAGCCAACAAGTCTCAACTTGTTGCAGATACTGCATAGGTCAAAGATTGACCGGCTTCCTGCCTGCTGTCCTGTGAAGGTCAGAGCCTATTCCAACCTTCCGAGACCCTGCGCATGACACACTTTTAGAAGGGTCTCTGAAAATTAAAGCTTTACTCTAGCAGACATTGCAGCGGACTGAATTCTGATAGTTTTAACACTGCATCCTATCTGCAGCAGGTGGGCGAATTACTGCAGGTCCTGCTCAGAGGATGGGGGCAGGTTCCTCTGAATGGCCGAGGACTACCAGCTAAATTTTAAGAAATCAGTCCAGGCCTTCTCATAAGACCTGAAAGCGGATGGGGAAACGTAAGCTACTATTCCTCATAATTATTAATTGTCGCCAAGTGCCACAGGAGCTCCAGAAAAATAGCTGGGTGTCCAGAGCCCAGGATCTGAAGCTCTCCAACTGAAAAAACGGGATAGAGCCACAGCAAAAACATTAGATGATCCCGAAATAAAGTGAGCAGAAACGCAATATTAAACCTTAAGCAGTGCGAAGACTCTGCCAGAGCATGAAGACCGTTTTGCCAGGACTCTCACACTGCCTGGTTATCAGACCAAGACAGACCTGACGGTCCCTAAACTCCTCAGTCCAGATGTGCGCTGACACTACAATGAGGAAAACTCAAGAAAGTTAGGTTACATGTGATTGCCTTGCCCTGCCAGGCTCAAGGCCACTGTACATGATGATGAAGGGACACCGGGCCATGAGACCACCTGGCCAAGCAGGAATGGAAGGGGCAGCCTGGAGCAACCACCCTGCATGCAAAATTTAACTGACCTAGGAATGATAGGATCTGACAAAGCAACACTTGCCTCAGAGGAAGTATTACAAGAATAACATCCTTCAAGGCAAACAGCTTTTCCACAGGCAAGCAGATGTTTGAGCAACGGTATCCAGCTAGCCCCCAAATACATTAAAAGGGGCAGTAGGAGCCACTGTCCTCCACTGCCAACAGAACACCCAGCTCCTCAGGGAATAAAGGGGCATCTAGTAAGCTAAGCAGAGGCTGGTGTCACATGAACCAGCCAGTAAAATAATCCACATAACGATACCCCCAGTTAAAAGAGTCTTGACTCGCAATGTTCAATCCAGAAAGGCGCTAAAGGACTCAAGTGCTGCACAGCCTATTGAGCAACCAACTGGCATCGCCTTATCCATATAAGGACCATCCAATTAAAGCCTAACTACTTAAAATCTTGAGGGTGAACCGGCAGCAGCCTAACAGCCGATTCAATATCGCATAATGCCAACAAGGCACCTCCTCCAATTTGTTGGTAAGCTCAACTGCCTGATCCAAAGATGCATATTTCACGGAACAATTCCGGAGGGATAGCATCATTCACTGAGGTGCCTTTGGGGTGCGATAAATATGGATCAGATGGAATTATATGGGGGAATTAGGGACGATCCCCAATGGGGATAAATGAAAATCGGGACTAGAAGGAGAATCAAGGGGATCCCACCATACGTCCCAATGCAAGCTGCTTCCTAACCTTCTTTCTGGCTACCACAGACTTTCTGGCTACCACAGACTCTAACTGACTTTTGAGTTGCTGTATTCTGAGCCACTGGCTGAAAAGCCAGAGGAATCCCAAAACCTTGGAGACAAACCCGTCCCACACGCACAACGCGACTGACGCATCTAGATAACCTTTTAGCCAGGCTTTAAAGGGAGATATTTTTATGGAAATATGGGCGAGAGGTATTGAGTTATTGCTTGCCAGCCCCGCTTGGGCAAGAAGCCCTGCCTTGTGTTGCCACCATGATGTGTAAATTTACAGGGCCAACACTGGCCAGAGACCCTAAAGAAGTCCCAACAAAGCTGCCACCGGGCCAGCTTCCTGCATACCAGCTTCAGGTTCTATTGCTCAGGGAATTTCCATTTGAAATGTGGAGCTGCGCAAGTGGTCCACATGTCCCCGTCCCTGCGATCCTAGCGAGCTAAGGGGATGATGGCAGCCCTGCGTCTAACATTCCCATCATAGTGAATTACCACTTATAGAATAGTGGGGTTGGAAGGGACTCCTAGGATCATCTAGTCCACTCTCCCACAATATCATCATCATCATCATCATCATCATCATCTATTTGTACCCCGCCCATCTGGCTGGGCTCCCCAGCCACTCTGGGCAGCTTCCAACAAAATATTAAAATACAGTAATGCATCAAACATTAAAAGCTTCCCTAAACAGGGCTGCCTTAGATGTCTTCTAAAAGTCTGGTAGTAGACATCTGGTGGGAGGGTGTACCACAGGGCAGGTGCCACTTCCGAGAAAGCCCTCCACCTGGTTCCCTGTAACTTGGCTTCTCACAGTGAGGGAACCACCAGAAAGGCCCTCGGCACTGGACCTCAGTGTCCGGGTAAAGTGATGAGGGAGCATGCAGCTGTCCCATACAGGGACCAATCCTGCAACCTAGGCATTACCGGCACCATACGCTGACCAGCTGAGCTATCCAGGATGCTCCCTAAAGACCTGGAACTGTTGGTTTCTGCTTTCCTTCACTGTGCAGCTTTGCATGTCACGAGACAGGTGTTTACATTCCACAGTCTGTACTGTTGGAGTTTCTCACGGGAAAGGGAGACTGGATGTGACGTACACTGGTTTCCTGTTTTTCACTCTGTGATTCTCTCCAAGCTGTCGAGGAGAGAGGATGCATTTTCTGCTCTTGCAGAGGCAAGATGTCTTTCTGTAATATACCAGCTTTGAACTGTAAATAAAGCAATATAGAGTATGTAGCACGTATTGCTCATCCTTCCGCTGGGCACGACAGACTCTGCTTAAATCAACACGTGGTTATGGACTCCAGAGGTCGAATCGGAGTGCCGGCAAGAGGATCGGAATGCAGAGGGACGGATCGGAACGGAATCTGCTCTGCGCGTAGAAGTGATTGATGAGGTATGTGCTACTGCTCCGGGCAGCCTGCCAGCTTCAAGTTAATGGCTTTATGGCTGGACTTTGAACTTTTAAAGCCGGTTTTGCCGGGAATAGGCAAAAGGCTCCCAGGCACAAGTCACTATGCTGGGGAAATCGAAAGTAACTTTTAAGTGTGCCTTTGTAATGAGGCAGCTGCAGCAGTGACGCAGCAAGATTTAAAGCAGCATAGATATGACGCTGAAGGCTAATGCCAGAGTCATGATGGCCCTTCAGGATGCTTGTGGGATTCCTAAGCTCAACAAGAATAATTACAGCGACTGGGTTCAGTATGCAGAGGCAATTCTGCGGAAAGAGGGTTTGTTTGAGGTGATTACAGGAACCCCCCCAGTTCCAGTTACAGATGCATGGAAAGCTAAGGATTCCAAAGCAAGGGGAACTCTTACATTGATAGTATCCTTAGAAGAGCTCTGTCTATTGCGTGATAAGACCTCAGCCAGAGAAATTTGGGACGCTCTGAGAGAGGCTCACTTAAGGACAGAAGCTGGATCCACTATGTTTTATTTTAACAAGCTGCATAATATGGCTCTTGCTGAAGGTGGAGATGTACGTTTACATCTGATGCAGATGCAAAATCTGAGACATGAGCTGCAACAGAGAGGACTCAACTTTCCAGAGGCTGTGTATTCTTTCATGATACTACAATCTTTGGGTTCAGGTTGGGAGTCTGTTGCAACCCAGATTGCTGTGCAACCAACTGCTCAGCTGACAGTGGACTTTGTTACTGCCGTGATTTTAAATGAAGCAGATCGCCGGGTGCTAGCTGCATGGGCAAAGGGGAGTCTTCACAGACGTCATCCCATAGTGCAGTGGAACCACCAGATGGCGCCAAAGCTTTGAAGGCAGTGAAATGCTACTCATGTGGACGTCTAGGCCATATGAAGAGGGAATGCAGACATCCCAGGGCCAAGACAGAGCAGCGCAGCGAAAGCTCATCGCGCGGAAAAGGCCGAGGCAAAGGCAAAGGTCCGGTGTCAAGGACAACGCAGCACAAGGCTATGGTTTCACGCTTCACTCCAAAGGTTGCAGAGGTCCAGAAGACGTCTAGATCTTTCTTCGTTGTTGATTCAGCGGCCACCCACCACATGTGCAACGATAAGAAACTGTTTGTGTCTTTTACACCGCAGGAAGGTGCGATTCACCAGGCGGATGACCACACTATTCCCAGTAAAGGCTACGGAACTGTTGTTCTTCACAGTTTGGACTTATCGATACAGAATGTGCTTTACGTGCCAGACGCCAAACATAATCTGCTCAGCGTTGGACAGCTGAATGAGCGGAACATTGACGTATCCTTCAAGAACAAGAAGTGCATCATCACAAAGAAAAATGATTATGTATTGCATGCAGAATATGTTGATCATTTGTTTGTTTTGTATTATGATGATGTGGTGCAGGATGACACTTGTTGCATTGCAGGTTCTAACAAAAGTTTGCATGCAGAATGTATTCACGATTTTCATCGAAAATTTGGTCATTTGCATTTTGAGGCAGTATCTAAAATGCCTGCCTTGGTTGAAGGTATGACTATTAAACCCTGCAGGTACCACATGAAGTGCAAAGCATGCGCAGCAAACAAAGTGAAAATGGCTGCGAAAGGTAAGGTGTCTAGTAGGAAAGCTACAGAACCATACCAGGTTGTTCATGCTGATTTGGTTGGTCCACTAGCGCCCTCTTTGGGTGGAAATAGATACTTCATGGTTCTCATTGATGCATTTTCTAGATATATTTTTGTGTACAATCTCAAGCAGAAATCGGAGGCTTTTCCTAGGTTCAAGGAATTCTGTGCTTGGTTGGAAAATGTGCATGGTAAGAAGATAAAGACTCTTTTCAGTGATCGCGGGGGAATTCACTTCTCAGCAGTTTGAAGCTTTTCTGACTGAGAAAGGAATTCAACACGATTTGTCTAGTCCTCGCTCGCCATGGCAGAATGGACTTGCGGAACGGGCAAATCAGACATTGCTTCAAGGGTTAAAGACCTTGCTGCATGATGCCAATCTTCCAGAGAGTTATTGGGCCGAATCTCTCTCGTGTTTTGTTTACAGTTACAATCGCAGGCTATCTTCAGCGATTGGTTGTACTTCTATGAGAAGATGTTTGGCAAGAAGCCATACATCAAACACATGAAGATTTTTGGTTCTGACATGTGGGTTTGCTCACCACAAAACTCCAAGTTAGACAAGCGTGGATTGCATGGTATCTTTCTAGGTTATCAGAAAGGGTCTTACAGAATAATGATGACTGACTCTAAGACAATTAAGCTCACGAGAAGTGTTGAGTACAATGCAAAGTGGGGGAGAATGTGGGAATTTTCCAATGTTATCCTGATGACGGTGATGAGACTGAGGATAGTCAAAAGCAACCACAACAGCCCACACCCACTGATGAAGGTTCTGAGTCTGAATCTGAAACTGAATCGGGTGATTCAGAGGATTTCAAGAGTGCGAAAGCCTCTATGCGACCCTCTGAAAGCTCTGATCAAGAATTGGAGGAACCATTGTTCACAATAGGTCGTTTTTCTCCTAAGAAGGAAGAGGAGAGTGTTGAAGACTTAAGGCTAATTCGTAGGTCACAGAGAGCCACAAAAGGCAAACCTCCAAAGAGATTTGCTGATGAGTTTGCTACGATAGCAGTAACAGCTGTTAAAAGCTCCAAGAAGGTATTTGAACCTTCAAGTTTCCAAGAAATCCAGGGTTTGGATTCAAAGGAAGCTGAGCCATGGTTAAATGCCATGAAGGCTGAGCTTGATTCCTTAGAAAGGAACAAAACATGGGAACTAGTTCCAGTAGTTCCAGGAATGAAACTGCTTGGAAGCAAATGGGTCTTCAAAGCGAAGACAGATCAAAATGGCAAGATAGTCAGACACAAAGCCAGATTGGTAGCCAGAGGTTTTGCACAGGTACCAGGTGAAGACTATCACGAGACCTATTCACCCACAGTGAGATATGAAAGCATTAGGCTTATGCTCAAGCTAGCTGCAGAGGAAAATCTACACATTAGTCACCATGATATTAATACAGCTTTTCTGTACGGATCTCTAGATGAATCACTTTATATGCTTCCACCTGATGGCGTACAGGTAAAACAGGGATTTGTTTGTGCTCTGAAGAAATCCCTTTATGGTCTCAAACAAAGTGCACGGTGTTGGCACACAAAACTCACTGAAGTATTGTTTTCTCTAGGTTTTCAGCAAGGGAAAGCTGATCCATGTGTATTTGTCAAAGAGGAGGGGCAAAAGAAACTGTACTGTTTGTTTTATGTTGATGATTTATTATTCTTTTGGAAAGATGTCGCAATGTACAATAACGCCCTAGCTCAACTGAAAGAGCACTTTGACATGAAAGATCTTGGTGAGGTAAACAACTACCTATCTCTGGAAATAGAGAGAGATCAAGATGGTAACATTCTAGTACACCAGTCACGGAAAATTGCTGATGTGTTAAGCAAACTAAATCTGATGGATGCTAACCCTGTAGACACACCGATGACAACAGGTTATCAGGTAGATGACACTGAAGAAGCATTTTCTGACACTACACTGTACAGGAGTGTGCTAGGCAAGCTAAACTTCATTGCCAGATGTTCAAGACCAGACATTGCTGTTAGCTGTAATTTGCTAAGCAGACAAGTCAACAATCCTAGTGTCAAGGATTGGAAAGCTCTGAAACGCATAGCGCGGTATTTGAAAGGCACTATGCATTACAGACTGAGATTTAACAATCAGAAGTCTGGTGGTCTTGAGATATTTGCAGATGCAAGTTTTGGAAGTGACGCTACAGACAGGAAAGGTACGTCTGGAGTTTGCTACATGTACAATCAGAGTCTGTTTGATTGGTCATGCAAGAAGCAAACAACAGTTAGCTTAAGTACTTGTGAAGCCGAACTGAATGCACTGTCTTATTCACTTAAGGATTGTGAATGGTTAGTACAATTGTGCAAAGATATGAAAATTTCTGTCAAATGTCCAATCCAGGTTTACCAGGACAACAAAGCATGTTTGGCTTTGCTGAAGTCTGAAGGTTGTAAGCAAAGCACAAAGCACTTGCAATTAAAGTTGCAGCATGCTAGGGAATGTATTCAGAAGGGACTCGTAACGGTGTCCTATATGCCAGGTAATGAAATTCCTGCTGATGTATTGTCCAAGATTGTATCGAGGGATCAACACTGTACCTATGTGCAGAAGTTGGGTTTGTACTGATATTGTGCAAACACGCTGCCCAGTGATGTTCACAGAAAGGGGAGGATGTTGGTTTCTGCTTTCCTTCACTGTGCAGCTCTGCTTGTCACGAGACAGGTGTTTACATTCCACAGTCTGTACTGTTGGAGTTTCTCACGGGAAAGGGAGACTGGATGTGACGTACACTGGTTTCCTGTTTTTCACTGTGTGATTCTCTCCAAGCTGTCGAGGAGAGAGGATGCATTTTCTGCTCTTGCAGAGGCAAGATGTCTTTCTGTAATATACCAGCTTTGAACTGTAAATAAAGCAATATAGAGTATGTAGCACGTATTGCTCATCCTTCCGCTGGGCACGACAGACTCTGCTTAAATCAACAGGAACAGCCTCACCCTGACCCCTGGAGAGGTCCAAGGTGATGTCTGAATCATCATCAGAGCCCAGTGATGATTTACCTGCAAGGAGGTGTAAGCATCATCCCTGCTATGCTTTTTCCTGCCTCTGAAGACGCCTCCTTCCTGAAGAAGGCACCTGGGGCATCAACAAGTCATCCTCTGCAGGAGAGGCAAGCTCTGGAGGCATCTGCAAAGGCCTCTGCGAAAAGAAAAAACCTAAACAATGTGAGGAACAGGTGAAACCAATGCTTTGTGCACCACATGGGGACGCTATTCAGGCCAGAAACGCTGCCAGAGGCCATCAAATTCTAGGGCCAAGCGGGCCAAGCCCTAGGATCACCTGCTAGGCCAGACATAAATGTTTCCAATGAGATAACAAACTCGAGGCAGCCCACCGCATGTCCAGGTACCCCTGCTTGCCCTTTAGAGGGAAGCACCTCCTCAAGAAACCCAAAGTTCTTTTTGGGAGCAATATCACAAATGGGCCAAACTACCCAGCAACAAAATAGTCCAAAAGGAGCAGCTTGTTTTGCCTTGTTATAACAATGGCTAAGTGAGGGATATGAACCCTGTCTCCCAGGTCCTAGTCCTGTACTCTAGCCACTAAGCCACAATGGCTCGTTTCTAAAATGGCAGTCGCCACTATCAGGAAAAACAAACTTGAAGAAAATAAACTTGTTCAGAAACAGCATAGTTAAAGAGCATACAAAGAGTGCTCATTGGAGGCACAGAGAGCCTCTGGCTCCACTCTGTCTGCCTAAGCTATACATTAGCAACAAGTGAGCCTGCAAACAACAGATACATTCTTATAGAGAGAATGAGTCACATGTTACAGAAACTTAACAATTCACTGTACTGCTAACTGTAGCAGGCTTAGGCTTGAATGATATGTGCAGGCCGTGCAAGCCGTGCAGGCCTCCCTGCTTCTGCTCTCTGCCTTTTTTGTCTCATTGCAATATTAAAGGAACTCAAAACAGTGCTCCCGCCCAAGGCTAAATTAAAACTCGGCCAACAGCACTGCAATCACCCAAAATAAAGCCAACCTATGAGGATACTATAAACGAAAGTGATTCCAGGTAAGCTGGGAATTCACTGTACTGCTAACTGTAGCAGGCTTAGGCTTGAAAGATATGTGCAGGCCGAGCAGGCCGTGAAGGCCTCCCTGCTTCAGCTCTCTGCCTTTTTTGTCTCATTGCAGTATTAAAGGAACTCAATAGTGCTCCCGCCCAAGGCTAGATTAAAACTCGGCCAACAGCACTGCATGCACCCAAAATAAAGCCAACCTATGGGGATACTATAAATGAAAGTGATTCCAGGTAAGCTGGGAGCAGCCCTGGCTAGCCCGACAATTAAACAGGCGAAAATGGGGAAAACTTTTTGCAAAAGAAAGCCCCTAATGGGGGCTCTCTCCCTATTGGAAAAGGCAAGCCCAGGAGGATTATGCACAGGCAGCGCTCACAGGTACAGGGAGAATCTTCCCAAAGGGCAGGGTAAGGGGTGGGGTGGGAAATCAAACAGAAAGAAAAAGGGGGTCGATTAAATTAATTAAGGGACTAGAGAGGATTAAAATAAGGGGAAAATAAAGAAATGTAACCAGACAATGAGAAGATCGCTCCACTGTCCTCCAGACGGTCCAAGTGCTCCAGGTGATCCGTTGCACGCAGCAAAGAGAAAGCTCCAGGCTGCGTGCAGAGTATTTAAACATTTTACCCCTCCCACCAAAATTGCAACATAACTTTTACCCCAGCAACCCAGTGAACCAATCACTGCCCCAGGCCATCTTTAGAGACCCTGCCTGGTAACAGAGGGGTGGCTCAGCAGACCCCACCGCAACACGTGCTCTCCATGAAGGAGAACACGCTTTGTGAGCCAAGGGCTGGGCGGGGGGAGGGGATTATCCCTCTTAAAATTGTCCTTATGTGATGTAATGAATCTAGACCATTCCACTCCATTATACAGGGTGGATTTTAAGAGGTGCACAGATTAAATCACGAGGTGGGTGCCAAAAGTCACTTTCCCATAAATGATTTGTGGCAGGTAGATTTTGGCCTCAGGCTCTGATTTTAGCTCTGCATTGTTTCTCTCACTCACATAGAGACTAATGGAGGCATTAGTTCATCATACATTGGGAATAATAACCTCAGGGCAGTTCACAGGATAATAATAGAGATTATCAATCATTAAAACACACCAACTGCTATCAGTTGGTTAAAACATATTAACCAGAATCAGATATGATAAACATTTCCATTGCATTCAGATGTCAACAATAATATAACCAGCAGCTGCTATATAAAACATTTTTCAGTGGAGACAAGGCCAGCCCTATCATTAAATGAACTCAGGCACCTGCCTCAGGCAGTTGGTTGTGGGTATCCTGAAAGGACAGCAAATTTGTGGCTCTCTGGTGTAGTAGTATTGCATTTTTATTATGTGCAGGGAGTACTTGTGGGATTTTCTATCTCAGGTGCTGAAATAACTTGTCCAGACTATGCAACTTACCGGTAACTTTGGGTGGGATGCCATTTCCTGCCCTGCCTCAAGCAGCAAAATGTCTTGAGTCTGCGCTGAATGGAGGCAGTGACTAGTAAAAACATGAGGGCCAGGGCATGCCTCCTTTGGCTTTCGTGTCATTATCCTTGCCGCCAATCACTTTCACCACCACTGACTGCCAAGCCCACTCGTTCAGAGACACTTTGAAACAACCACGTTAGGAAGACTTATTTGAACAAAGGAAGCATTTCTGTACTGGCCTGGCCACTATTTTGAATATACAATACATGCATGCCAAGCCCTTGTGAATGGCAGTAGCAAAATTTGCAGCATATATGAGGACAGAGAGCTCCAGACTGCTGGCAGGTGGCAATAGCTTGGGAATGTGAATCGGCCATTTCTGGCCTTACCCGAAGCTGTGTTTTCAACCCCTAATTCAGTTTATGTTGGAATATGAGAAGAAAGTTAATAAGCAGAGACAGAAACATCGGAAAACAACATATAGCATGCGCTGCTGTCTCATGGAAGCTGACATCATGCTTAAACGAGACCTCATGCTGGTCCCATCATTACCAAATAGCAGAAGTCATCCAACCTCTGTTCCTGCAGGGGATCTGGACCCTGGTCTAAGCAGGTGTAACACCAATGAAATCCGTTGTGCTACATATGTTTGCAACAGGCCTGAATTTGGCCTCAGAGCATTCTTGGCATGGCATCGGGATCTGTGCAAGAACGGAACTGGAATGGGGGAAATATTTGGCTCTTCATTGCAATGGGTTTGGCAAACGAGACAGCTGCATGCCACTTCTCTCAATTTCACGAGTCTCTCCCTGTTTATTGCAGACGGATCTCGAAATGGGCTCCCTGCCAATGCCATACATTTTTGTTGTTCTCTTGGCTGCAGCGTCTTATGCTATAAATGGAGATGACCTGGCTGTATTAATTAAAGGCTGTTTGCTCTACAAAAGGGAGCCAAGTTTCAGAAGAACCAGGGAGGAGGAGATGGAGATGTAAAGTCGCATCTGCCTAAAGCCGTGTCATTAACAATCATCTTTGCTTTGAGATCTCATAAAACCTGTCACTGACATGCAACATGTTCTAATAGTAATTTGCTTTGTCTTTTTAACATGAAGGGGGGCGAGGGGACCCTACTCCCATGAACAGGATGGAGCAAGTGAACAGAGGTGCATCCCAAAGCCAGTTGGGGAACACCCCAAAAAATTATGCTCAACCCCCACAAAGGTAAGTGGCTAATAAGAACATAAGAAGAGCATCTTGTTCTCAGAGTGGCCACCCAGAAGCCTGTGGGAAACCCTCAAGCACAACTCTCCGCTCCTGCGATTTCCAGCACCTGGTATTCAGAAGAATTACGGGAGTCAGAGCAGAGCCATCGTGGCTAATTCCACACTGCTGTTAAGGGATGGTGAAGGGAGGGGACAAGCTGGAAAAGAGCCAGGGGGAGAAGCGCCTTATAAAGGCTAGCACCCATTCATCAGCCATGTGTCACCAGCATACCCCTCTCACATGCCCCTAGATTGCGGCCTTACTGAGTGTAGAGGCAAATCCATTTTGCTAAAGAAGGCAAACCTATGCAAACCTATAATGCTTCATCTACAGCCAATCAATCGACCATATGTTTGGGGTCCAAAACAGGGCATCCATGGGCACTTTGACACCCTCAGACACCCTACTCGGTGCCTGCTCAAACTAAAAATTGAGAGGTTTTCAAAAATTTCATTTTGTTTTGAGAGTTGCCTCTTTTGATTGGGAGTTGACTGCATTTCTGTCTGTTTTATTGGGGGGGGTGTATTGTTTTGCCTGTAGTTTTGGAGGAGCGGTGTTTCTTAAAATCACCACTTTTCCTTCTGTCAAATGGCCATTCTGTGGTGCCCGTGACTGTATCTCAGATTCTTAAATGTTGCTTTGGGGCCAAAACAGTGATTTTTCCCATTACCGGCATAGAAAGGGAATTTGCAGCAGTATGACAGAAGAGCTAAAATGTAATCAGGAGTGTTACTTGGTAGCTCTGTTGACTACTGATTTATTAGATCAATTGTCTTTATTAATAGTCATGGGCTAATGGGATACAATGAGTACAGTGCAGTAATACGAGCAATGGTATTATTTATTTGTTATAGCTGCTCAAAACTAAGCCCGTTTTTGAATATAATAGCTTAAATAAATGAGAAAAACAAAACACCACTGAATTTAAAGTAGCTAAAACAACATTCCTTTAAGCAGATTAAACATTTCTCTTTCAATGGGGAAAATCCATCATTTGAATGACAGGGCCATTCCATTGACTTTGATAAGTGGCCACTGTGACTCAGGGAATGAAAACCTGGCTATTTCTTTTACATGAAAATATGTACAATCCATTTTCCCTTTGCTCTGTGATATAGAATATAGATCTGCTCCAGACTTAATTTGTGCTAAAGCTCACCAAAGCGTAGCCCTGGAACTTGTTTTAAACCCGGCTGAACATAAGCTGCACACACCATATTTTTTGAATATGATTCCTTCTATTTTAGTAACTTGCTATTAAGTGGTAACTCATGCACTTAAATTTCCATCACTTGCCTTACCTCTGATTGGTGGCCACCATTTGCCCTCAGTGGTCATCACACAGCCAGAGCTGGTTAGCTGTGTCAACCTATGAGATTCTGTTTGCTCACATCTCGCAACATCAACATGTCAAAGCACCATGACATCATCCCATTCACAATGTGATCTATGAGTGGATAGTTCATCCATGTGATGGAGTTCAAGAAGAAGCAACCGTGCACAATAGTGACACTGATGGAACTGTCGGCATCCGGGGGTTGAACGGCCAACTGGCTAGCCCCCAGCTGGATCGTCTCCTTCTAGTCGTGCTGCTGCAAAGATCCCTCGACCTCTGGTGCAACATAAATCAGCAACTCAGGCCTCAAGACCCGAGCACACTATATTCAGCAAAGCAAACTGCGCAACAAAAGAGGCTTGAGGCTTGTGGAGACATACTAACAAACTACGGATTTATTAAACATAAATCAGGACAAAGAAACATGTCGTGTCTCTTTGCCGTCTCTTCCGAGAGAGAGAGAAAAGCAAAAGCAAAAACAACACAGCGGAAGTTCCGCTTACACCAGCAAAACTGTGCTGGAATGTAAACAGACATGTGACATGTAACAATCCCATGTCTGTAAGGTGGAATAGAAAATCCCAACAGGAACAGTACTGAATAAAGAGAAATAAAGAATGATTTTTTTTTATTTAAAATGTTTATTAAGAGTTTCATGGTACCAAATAAACAAAAACATAGCATCCATACAATTATGGATCCATACATCATACAATTATAGCACCTCAGGTTGCAATTATAACAGCATAAAATGTCCACAGCAGTTCTGACCTCCACTTGATATTTAAACTCCTGGAAACATCATTCCCTTCATTTAGCTTTACCATGACTGAAGACCATTCTGAATACATCCTGGTGTCTCATCTTATCATTCCTTGGATCTAGTTTAATCTCAATTCCTCTAGTAGATATGCTCAGAAAGGTTACCGTATCTATCGAACTACTTTTCTTTCATGTCCCTTTAAAAACAGATGTGGTATGTCAACCAATTTTTGTGTGTGAGAGAGAGCAGAGAGATTGCAAAGATTTGTTTGGGGAGGGAGGAGAGAGAAATCACATTTTTAGGGAGGGCAGAAAATTACAAAATACCAGACTCTTGAGATGAAATCGGATTAATCTGAACTTTCCCCCAAATGGGGAACATTCTTCAAAAGTCAAAACCCAAGTTTCAGCCTGTGTTCTCTTCAGTAACCTTTAGAGTCGAAAATGCATTTCTGTTCATTCCCCCCCCACCATACCCCCAAACAGTGGCGT